TACACATGTTCACCCATTGTTTCATTAATTTCTCATTCATGACTGAATTTTTTGGACTCAACTTTTGTTAAGATTACTTTCCTTCCTGGAAGCTCCTTTAACAGAGAGGCACAACCAGAATACACAAGTAAAATGATGCTATCTGGTGCCAGTTTAGTAGTGTATTTATTACTTTACATAGGAGTCCTGGTGTGGCACTCTGGGTAATGCGCTAGACTGCAATGTTGGCTTGAACCACAAGGTCGGAAGTTCAAGCTCACCAACCGCTCCTTGAACTGACTCAATGATATTTAACAACAACATAGGTAGCATAATCTGTTGCTTATTCAATATGATCAATATGAAAAAAATACTCAGCCTCAGTACATATATTTCCCAAGTTCTACATCTGTTGTTGTTCAGCGCCATCAAGTCAGTTCCAACTCATAGTGATCCTGTATAGGGTTTCCAAGAAGCTGCTGGTGAGTTTAAATTGCCAAACTTGTAGTTCAAGTTCCCTATCTAGGGGGTCTCAAACATCAGTGTATAGGAATGTAGAATTTGTATTTTAAATGACCCCATCCCAGAGATTGTTTCACTGGGGCTACTGGAGCCCTGCAATCTGCATCATTAACAAGTCCCTCAGACAATCCTGTTGCAGAAACACACTCTTGAAAAGATACTATCTTAATTTCCAGATGTTAAATTAAGCTCTCACAACCAGCCTGCCTGGTCCATTTTTAAGTGCTCAGTAGAGATGTACACTATTGAATCAATGTGTGACCAGACTTAATAGCAACAAGGCATATGTTATGGTTCCTTGGATACCTAAATATATCAAACTTCCTGAGAAAAGCCATAATTTGAATTATCCCACAAAATATAACAACTGCTATACACTTGAATTTAACCTTAAGTCAGACAAATCTTAAATTATCTCTACTTTCATGACAAGTCAGTAGCCCCAATCAACTAAACTATTTCTTCATTCTTATATTTACCACACTAGCAAAAAATAAAATAAAATAAACTTACATATCTGGTTTCTTGAAATCTCCACTGGGAGTTTCAAAGACGTGGAACTCCTTATCCAGTAAAATCCAATGTAATATGAAAGTGTACTGTATTCATTTTTTTTCCTTCTACTACAAATGGGATTCCCAAGTTAAGGGCTCCTCCCTATGAGACTTTTAGTCTTAAATACTGAATTAAGTTCAGATGATAGTTTGTTTGTTTTTTATCCTTGCTGCTTCATTAACACTATTGTGACATTTGTTAAGTGCCATCAAGTCAGTTCTGACTCATAACAACTCTAAATGGGGTTTCCAAGGAGTGGCTGGTAGGTTTGACCCACCAATCTTGGGGTAAGGAGCCCAGTGCTGATCTACAGCATCACACCAGGACATACTTAGTGATTAATTGAATACATTCATTTTGAGGATGAAAATCTAACAAGAGTATGATTTGTTATACGTGACTTTCAATACAATATTTTTTTAACCCAGAAATAGTCGAGGACTCTAGGGGGGTAAAACAGGAAATATAAACTTCACTTAAAGAGCTTAAACTTCATTAATATGAATTAATAAAGTATATAATCCACAAGTGTCTTTTCACAATTTGCTCTAGTCTTCATATTATAATTGCTTATAAAGGTATCTAATTAATTCTTAGCTCATTCAGGTTTTTGTTCCTTTTACCTCAAGCATTTTAATCAGAGATAGTGGCATATGTATCCCTAAATATGTTTTTAAACCTCTAAACTTGACTATTTAAATCATTTTTATTCAAAATTTCATCAAGATCAATTTGTTCTGTAGAGTTATTTATGAAGAAACAATACTGGGTTGTTATTTTAGAAGTATAATAACTATTATCTAGTAGCCTTCTAAATACTGAGCAATTATATATACATACTGTTGTTGTTGTTGTTAAGTGCCGTCGAGTCGGTTCCGACCCATAGCGACCCTGTACAGCGTTTCCGAGGGTGTAAATCTTTACAGGAGTAGAAAGCCTCATCTTTCTCCCGCGGAGCGGCTGGTAGTTTCGAACCGCTGACCTTAAGGTTTGCAGCCCGATTCGTAACCACTACGCTACCAGAGCATACATACTAGGGAATGAAAATTAAACTATGTATTTAATAACTGTTCAAAACACTTGTTCCTATTTATGAGTTTAGTATCTTCTTAGGCACCTCCCTCAGAGTAGCTACTTAAAACTTTTAGTTGAATCCAATAACCCATCAAAAGCAGACATTGAAGTACAATTTATGAAAATACATGGATGCTTATATAGAAACATATTCCAGACATAAAAAATCTATGGTTGGTAAAGAAAAGATAATGTTCTAAGAAATTTTAAAGTAGTTATTTCCTGGGTGTCTTTTTTTCTCCAAACATTAGACGAAGTTGCATTGTTTACAAAAATTTATTCATACAAATTTTACATACTTTATATAACAGTTATCAAAGTCCTAGTTATAGATATCATGTGTGTAATAATACTTGGTTAAGATGTTTTATAATCAGTTGCACACAAAATAAGAGCTTCAAGACTAACATCTACCTAAATTATCACTATATCATAAATTTGCTTCAGTTTAGTAAGGCTCTTGGCATTTCTAAAAAGTATACAAAAGATTAAATTGGGTGATCACTGCAAAATGCTTGCAACTAGCCACGGGAACACTAAATTAGACTTCAGTTTAAAACAAAAAAATGGTTAACTAGAGCCCTATTTCACCACTAACAGCTGACACAAACACAGAAACTCTGCCCATTATCCAAGAAACAAATAATTAAGACTAAAATGCAAGCCGATGTGTTGCAGCATTGTAGGGCCACTAAATAGCCATCTGTGATTCGTGGCGATTTAAAAGGCAAGAAAGGCACTAAAGCTGCAAACTGCATCCCATATAACGTCACATTGCCTGAGGAGACTGCAGAATTAAAGAAAGATTGATCCCGTACACAGGACTCAGGCATGGATCGAATGCCTCTGTGTGCTCAATGCTTGCAATGTGATCTCCTGGCAGTCTCTGTCCCGCCTGGGAATGCAAATCCAATTCTGTTTTCTTTGATTTATGACTTCATACTGATCAAATCCTTAAAGGAATAGGAAAGGTCTTTTAACTTTATAAGCTAATTTTACTCTTTTCTTGTTGTTAGTCTTTTTCTTTTTTTTCCAGAAATTTAAATAAAATAAAACAATGGTGCCTGCAATTAGAAAGAGTGGCTGATTGGTTTGTCTGTTGTTGCTTGATCTAGTTGCTGGGCGAAGGTTCTTTTGTTTATAGAGATTACTCTATATGTTGAGGAATTGACAGGAAACAGACAAACATGCTTTCTTTAGCCAAGAAAGAATATAATCAGGGTCTGTTGGAGCTTGCTTACCTCACTCTTGACCACAAATACAAGGTAGTACTCATACATATGAAGAGGAAGTTTCATTGATTTATCAGTTAGTAAAACTGAGCAACATGTGAACACTACACATTCTAATATGACAAAGGTTGGTTTTATGAAATAAATTTTACTAAGCAATAAGCCATAATGTAGAAAAATACATTTTACCTACAAACTCAATTAACAAGAAACAAAAGGTTCATATTTAGTGCATAATTACTTCGTGGTAACTACACAGGAAGGAGCCCTGGTGGTGCAGTGGTCAAGTGCTTAACTGCTAACCGAGAGGGCAGTGGTAACTACACATGGGTTCCCAAATTTTACAATATTTACTTGCATCAAACAGAACAACAACAACAAAAGATAAAGTGAGAAACATTCACAAGTTTAAGAGAAGTGAATGAAAACGATAAACGATAAACGGTACTTAAACAGTGTGGGAGATTAGGAAGGAGGGGTCTCCAGAAAATCACAAAGGAAAAGGGTGGCTCCTAGGGAGCAGGGCTCAAGGGAAAGATCCTGGCCATTTCACAAGATGAGAAGCATGAACAGCACTGGAGAAAAACACATTGTACTTTGCATCCATTTCCAATACCCAGCGCCTAAAGTGAGTTAAGTAATGGACCTGCGGTGGGACTCTGGTTGTCCTGGCTTCCCGGACTTGAGGCAGCCACAAACCAGTCCCTTTCCCAGTGGGTCCTCTTCTATTGCCTTAAGCTCTGCCTCGTCTATATACCCATTGTTTCATTCAGTATGCCCAATTGTCCTAACCTTGGGATATTAGGTTCCCTGACGAATCAGGAAGTACAGAAGAGGGGGAATTCCAACCTAAATCTCCCTTCTCTGTACAATTCCCCAATTCTTAAGGCCAGGGAGTGGCGTGAATTCTAGGGTGAAGAGCAATTTGGGTCAAGCTGTTGTTATTTTATCAGGAGAGTTTGAAGAGAGACAAATACACCTAAAAGTGGAATCAAAGAAAGCAGAAATATTGGAATCGCCACCCAATTAGGGGGATAGTTATGCCTGGTTGTATTGGGCTGGGATTGAAGCAGCCAGCCCCAGGGACTCACCGGGAAAGAATGCCCTTCAGCAATTTTCCCAAACCACTACCTTCGCATCTCCCTGGAGCTGGCCTTCATTGTTTATGTACAGTAGTAACAAATGGTCAGTATTAATATCTTCACGCCTTTTGTGGATAAAAATACTATCCTTTTAATTCCAGTTTACAAAAATAGGAGTAATATTCAAAACAATGATTGTCTATTTTTCTATTTATTTTATATAAAAACATAAACAGCTCAAGCAAATTTTGAATCCTTGTGCACGCTTTATATGAATTGCTCTCTATAATACTTATAGATATCCTTTATATATATATATATATTTGTTTATAATATATATCAATAATTGGTCCACAAAGTATATCTGTGCATTCTCTAGTGCTTTGTACAAAAGAAAAACAATATTATTATCAAAATATTCATTTAATGGCTTTACTTCATACATAAATACATGTTTGAATAGAACACACGAGCGATGACTGTTCAGTCAGTTTTGAAAATGACTTTTCATTGTGTTTGCTAGGGTTGTATACACAGGATAGCTAGTAACTCATCGCTACAAATATGCTATTCTGCGTCCTTTGTTTTTAACCCTTTGTTTATACCTTTTCCCTAGGACAGCCGCCAAGTATTTCTTGACAGCCATTTGTTTCCGGTAGCGACTGTAGCTGTCCGTGAAGATTCCGTCTGAGTGGCGCTTGGAGAGCGGCTCCGAGTCGTCTTCTGCGTCGCTGCCTATGTTCCCACTGCAAGAAGAGGGGAGGGGTCGGGAGAGCGTGACCAGGTGGAAGATAGAGATTCAGTAGCTGCGGGAGTAGGCAGGCCCCACCCCATGCGGAAGTCTTCTGGGAGGTGCAGGGTTCTATCCACCCCGCCTCCTTTCTCTGCTAGTTAGTGACAGGAAAGAGAGCGGAGATGGCAAACCTTCAATTCCTCCTCCCCACTGAGAGATTTCTGGCTTTAAACCCTTACAGATGGGGCCCTGGATGAGATCCGGGCGCGAGATTCAAGCCTAACCCTCTGAATACGCTGTCCTTTGAGATTTGACCATCCATGTGTTTGCTCTAAATTGTCATAAATGTTCCTCTCACTTCCCACATACAGAGAGAGAAAAATAAGGAAAGATCCCTAAATGCCACGTTGTCTGCGGCCGTGGAGTTTACAGCAATTCCTAGTCAGACAGGAGCACTCTCCTTCCGCACTCGAAATTGAAAAACGTGATAATAATATAAGTCGACAGGCTGTAGGTAATATTTTTCATCGCATGAATTATTCATTGCGAAAATGTAATCTGTTTTCCCATGGGTTTTATTAAAATGTTGCCTTCTGCTGAGACGTGTTCCACACAAGCACTGTGCTCTGGAGCTTGTCTGGCACTAGTAAAAGCTGTTTGTTTCCCTGAGTGTTTAAATTGGAAGATTTGTTTGTTTCTATTTGAATTTACAGTAAAAGAAAGATTTTTTTAAGTCACGCCTTGAGGAAATTATGGTCATTCCTCCTTCAAAGCTTGAATTTTTTTTAATTACTGGAGGTTTCTGTTTGGTTTCTCTTTTCATTCAAAACGGATCAAACTCCCGGGTTGTTCCTCTCTCCTTCACTCCCCAACCTCTCGAGTTCTCGAGCCAAAGTTAGGGTATCTTAGGGTATCGCTATATGACCTTCTAAAAGGGCTGGGGGGGGGGGTCCTGCCAACAGGGGCGCAGATGCACACCCGGACCCACGTGTACGCACAAACGTAGAAGTCACGCCGCTCCCCCAGCCTCCCTCCCGCAGCGCGCTCCCCACGGACACCACCCTTGGCGCACGCGCGCGCGTCACCGTTCTCCGGTTAACTCTTTCGCAAACTCTTACCCCACGCCCTTGGCCACGAGCGACTGCAGGTACTTCCTGGCGGACAGCTGGTCCAGCACTTTGCGGTAGGCCTTGTTAAGGATTCCTCGGGCAACATCTCTAATGGGGAGGTAAAGTGCCCGTCCAGAGTCACTGACTCTGGGCCCCAAGTAACCGCCCGAAATCCCTCTGCTGGGCGCACGCGGCTCTCAACACCCCTGGAGGCTGACGGGGAAGCCCACAGATGCACAAAACTCGCTAATAACTAACTCTCTTAGGGTTTGTCCAAGAGGGAATACCAGGAACTTGAGTTCGTCCTAGTCTCTAGGAATGATAAGTGAGGTGACGGGTAAAGAGCACTCAATCCCAGTCATCGGGCCACAGGCCTTTTGGTCCCCACGCGGGACCTCCAGTACACATAAACCCACCCGACGCTAGCCTTCCGTCTCTTCCCTAGGAAGCCGCCAGGAAGGAGATAGGCTTGAGGGCTTGTGTAAAACAAAAACACAAAGCGATGTCCCCACACGCCGCCCCTCCCGGGCGCCGTGGCTGGGTAGGCCATACCTCTGTTCGGCTGGATAGTAGAGTGCAGACGCTTGGCGCAACGCGGAGGCGGGGCTCCCTATACCAGGCGAGACCGAATCGTAGAAGTCTGGCAGCAGGTTTCCGTCCTCGTCGTACACCTCGTCCTCCGGCCTGCAGGGGCCCAAGGGACAGAAGGAGTGGTCACTACAAGTCCTTCTAGTCTCTGCAAGGACCCTGAAGGAGAGTGGGGCTCGGCCTGGTTTTCCATCTTCATAAAGGTCCCCATGGAGAGTTGTCTTTTCTTCCGGGATAGGGGTGAGGTTGAGGAAATTCCCACCCAGAGAGTCCACTCTCCAACTGCTCCTCTCTCAGGTAATGGGGTCTCCCAGTAAGGCCGCGGCTTCAGTGAGCCGAATCATCTCCGCCGACTGCGCACACCTACCACCAAAAAGGACAGCCCCCTTTCACGCCTGACTCCCAAGCCTTCCCCGGAATAGCAACGGGTGGGTACGAGAAAGGCCCTAGGAGACTAGGTACTAGCCAAGGAAGACTCAAAGGCGAAGACCCTGAAGAGGAACGGAGAAAAAGGACGGGGGGATGGGGTGCGAAGGCTAACTTCAGCAGTCACCCCCGCCCCACCCTCTGAACCCAGGGGAGCCCTTCTCCGCACAGATGTAGGTCATGGAGCTCTGGCTTCTATTTTGGGCGGGAGAAGATCTAGCAGGAGCATGAATAATAAATGTCCCTAAACTTAGCCAGTTTGGCGACGACTCCTTCTGTGGCTTGTCCTCTGACTTCGGAGAAAGTGCCAAATATATTGGACTTCGAAAATAGCTGGGGGACGAAGGGGCTTTTAGATAACACTCAGTAATAGTTCCGCTCTTCCAGTCGCGATGGGTGACCTTTTGGGTCCCATCTCAATCCCAAGGTTCAAGAAAAGAAGCAGCTGAGAGTTGAAATCAACAAGGGACGGAGAGCGAGCGGGAGCGCTGCAGTCCTGAAAACGCCCTCGCCTGCCTCGCCCATTCTTTATTCAGGACGTGGAAGAGTGGATTAAAACACTGGCCCGGAAAGTGGCCTGGACACGTAATTTTCTCTAGGTGGGGGCCTAAGTCCCTACGGCCTCGAATTCCCGCTCGGCGGGCGGTTCAGCCATCCCTGAAGAAGCCAAGGCTAGATGAGAGTATATCTTCCCCCACCCAGCCTTTTCTTGGTGACACGCCTAATCTCCGGCTCATTTGTCTGGAGCCCCAGAGCACTTCCTGTCCTGCCCTAAACCCAGATAGTGGAATAGTAATATTGAACCCGTCTCTCCGGCCAATTCAATGCCCAGTGACCCCCAAAAGCGAACGTCCTCGGGCGCGACTCGGATGAGCAGTTTTGCCGGCAGAAGGCGCTCTGACTCCTCCCCGCCCCAAACCTGGAGAGCCGCAGGTTGCGGACGCTGAACTGTAAAAGCGCGCCGCCACTTTTCGGCTGACCAGCCGGGGACTTTGAGGCTGCTGCGAAGAGTCGGGGTAGTTCCGGAGTTAAATTTAAAATAAAAAAAAAATTAAAAAGCTAGGGTTCCTCAGCCTGGGGAAAGCAGGGTTATCCTGATCTGCCAGCCTGCTTGCTTGTTTTCTCTTCCTCCTTCCTGACAGCCGCTTCTCCCCATCCCTTGCAGATTCATTCTTTTTCTTCTTTCTCTCAAGGCTTTTCTCTAGTTCAAACCCCTCCTCCCTAAGGTAGTTTGGGACTCAAAAACCCCACTACAATAAGGATCATTTGAGGGGAAGCTTTTCTGAGGGGAAGAATTCTAATAGAGGCAAAGAGGGAGGGCCTAAGAGAGAGAGAAGGAGACCCCGCCCCGATAGTCCAGGACAAGCTGTAACAAAGCAAAGTCCCCTAGAGCTTCACCCTCAGCTTCCGACTGGGCTCCGGGAGGCGAACTTTTCCTAACTCGTCCTAAGAATCGGAACAGAAGCCTGGCCCTGCCCTACACCTCCCCTCCCGCGGGCGGGGCTGGGGGAGGGGAGGTTTGTCTGGGACCCACTCGGGCTCTGGATACCTTGGCCCCTCGCGGCTACGGACTGGGGGAGGGGCGCCGGGCCGCGGACTGAGGTTAGGACCGGGGTCGCGATTCAGGTTAGGCATTAGTAAGCGGAGAGAGGTGCTTGTAGCTGCGACTCGGGAAACTGCAGGAAGGCAACCAAGAGGAGGCGTCCGGAAGAAGGCAATCCTAGCCTCCGCTCTTCTCTGGGATGCGAGCACCTACCTGATTCCCGGAAACCGCAGTCCAGCGGCGGCAGGTGAGCAGTAGACGCTGCTGTGCATTATTATTCCGTAGATCATCAAGGCCAGGCTCGCTCTGCTACACATGATCATTCTGCGCAGGATGAGACGAGAGCATCCAGCCATTAGAACACCCCTGGCCTTGCACCTCAGACCTCACAAAAAAACTCCTGGGTCTGGGGGGCGGGGGATGGAGGTAGATAGACTCTCAGACTCCCTGTGCTAAATACCGCTAAGAAACCGCCGGCGCGAGCGCCCTGCCACTTCCCTCGCTATAGTTTGAAGGGAAAGAGGGGGAAAAAAATAAACACACAACGCCCAGTAACTCTCCAGACCTGGTGGTAAAGGAGAGCCAACTCGTTTCCTGATGCCGGCACATCAGTTAGATTTTCCCCCTTCCCATTCCATTCAACTCTTACCGCTGCGAGGAAAGGGTTTGCTGCCAAGTAAGACGACGGGCAAAGGGCTCCTCCAAGTTTCTGCGCTGCGCTGGAGTCACAACCCGAAAGGCATCACCGTCTGGCGTAGGTGTCTGAGGGGAAGGCGAAGGAACAGCAAGAGGAGCTGGAAGACTTGTTTGCCGAGGCCAGTATTCTGTTGAAAAGTTTGCAGACGCACAGAACTAGCAGGCAGCGTGACACGAGAGAAGGGGGCGAGGAGAGAGTGGTAGAAGGATGAGCGAGAAGGAGGCAAGCACAGGAGGAAGGGAGGCTAGTGGCCTTAAGTCCACAGGGAAAAAGAAGCAGGTGATTAAGGAAAAGAAGGAAAGTCAAAGAAGGGAAGGAAGGAAGGAGGGAGGGCTACGGCACAACCCCCAGCGTTTGAGGCAGTCGCCGGGTCGGGCAGCTGCACTAGTAGGCAGCGCCTTCTCTCTGAGGTCCCTCTGCTTGCGTCTGAAGCTGTGGTTTCTTCTGCTGCTGCTGGTGGTTACAGAGGTGACTGGCCCTCTGCTCGTATTTATATGTGCAGTTAGCAAAAATCTATGGTTTTAGGAGAGCCCTTTTTGTCAACATCTGTCTGCCTATATAAGTACAGAATATTTTGTTGCACTGTTGAGCTCCGATTTTTATTCATGAAATGACTTCCTTTTTTTTTCAGTCACGTAATGATCGAGTATCAGAAAAAGACGTCAGCATCCTAGTCCCTCAAGGAACATATTAACTATTCTGTGCTGTCCTCTTGGATGATAAGATCCGGAGTCATCAACTTCTCATAAACACCTTTCACTCATACAATCCAATTTTTAAGAAGTCCAATTATTTTGGTGGTTTCCAATTTCTCAAGGATGGGTAAAGAATTCACAGAATCTTTAGGATAGTAAAGTCATGTTTTTAACTATGTCCCTCCTGCTTTTTTTTTACATTTTCATTAAGGCCACTAAACAGAGCTCTAGTTTCTGGATTTAAGCACCATGAAGATCTACTATTAATAAATTTAATTTAGATCTCTAATTTCTTGCGTATGTCCTTCCAGATAGACAATTAAATGTGGAAGTCGTTTTATTTTTAAAGGGGAATCTTACAGAATTTTCAGTAAATCTCTAATGAGTCTGGCTGTCGTTGACAGTCTGGCTATGAGTAGATTGATTAGAATTAACTGAGTCTAGAGCGCGGCCCATAGAGCTGTCCAGGCGCTGAGTGCTGAACTGTTTCCTCGCAAATACTACACACGTCGGGAATCGTGATGAAAAGATTTCTTTTCCTTCAGTCTCTAAATCTGAAGTTTTGGCAGTAGTGCCTTCAATATGGCAATTTTAAGTATCAAATCACCCTTCTTTTAGAACAAACCAACCCTTGAAATGTCTGTGAAATGCTTTTAATTATAACAACAGTGCTCGATTTGAGTGAAGAGCATTAGAAGTCTACTCTTAATCATGGTTTTTAAATATCTAGATTGCCTATTTGGAGACGTTCATACTTTCTGTGGCAATTACTGTTTTTGAAAATTGAAATATTGTATTACACAAAATTTGAAATTTTAAGGATGTGGAGGTGTGAAATACGTCTTTTCCATTTTATTTACAACTTGAATTCTGTTTGGGGATGTAGAGTAAGAAAGCATGCGGATTTTCAATACAAGTGAATTTGCTGAGGATTTCTAACCGATATCACTTCTTTGGAAATGGTTTGTGTGGTTTTTTAAACTGAAAATGACGTGGGAAGAGAAAAGCTATAAGGAAAGCCCACATCCACAAAGAGGCTTCCAAATCCCTGGGTAAATTGAGAAAATTAGTAAAGTTCTACTCCAGTAAAAGAACTTGGTTCTATTTCTTTTTAAAAGGAAATCAGTGGAAGCATCAATAACCATTAGTATGCATTTTAATTATTTGGATCTTAAACAAAGAATATAGGAAATGACAATTTAATAGGAGCGTTTCCTGTTACTATGATTTGGATCTAACATTTAAGTAAGTTATATTAGTCCTGCAGGCTTTTTGTAAGATAAAATTATGTTTCTCATTCCATTGCCATATATACATTATATATGAGATGTAATAATTCCTCTAAGAGGGCAAAGTTTTGCTTATTCCTGCTCACTTCCTCTTGGTTTATTCCTGGCGACGCTCCAGATGGCCTGCCTGGAACAAAACTTAAGGCCGCATCTACATAAGGATGTATTTCTTGTCTCCACTGCATATGTTCACCGATTTATGTTGGAGTGTTTACATGCATGTGTTTCGTGTTCAGCTCTGTGTCTGGAATAAGTCCGCGGTGAACACTACCAGATAATCAAGCACAGAGACGTCTTTCTTACTAAAGCACCCAAAGCTATTACCAACTGTGGCTTTCCTGTCTTCCACTGTGCTTCACGTCAAAGGTGAACCTGATTAAAATCCTTACTCTTGCCTCCCACGCAAATTCTGAAATGAGTTCAATCTGTAAGAAATAGTTGAAATTTTCCAAGACTCCTTCTACAAGTTCACCACTCAAATTTAGTAAAGGGAGCCACCATGTGGGGAGTTTGTTGACTTCATGGCCTATTAAACGGGGAAAATCCACAAACACGATTACGGAAGGTTAGCGAACTGCTGTTCCAAGAGCCCCACCCCCACCCCTGCAAGAAACTGTACAGTGTCTCTCATTTACAATATTGTATACCCCCGCCCACTCTTCTCAGCTCAGGGGCTCTCTGTGCGGAACTCAAGGCCGAACACTCAAAATCACGGACCGGAAGGCCTCAGTCCAGTCACTAGAGTGGAGGAGTAAGCGGAGAACTTAATTTTAAATTCTTGGTCACGTTACTTTAGAAATTCAGCCTAAAAATTGCTTCTTGTTGTTGTTAAATGCTGTCAAGTCGATTCCGACCCATAGCCATCCTGTATAGGAGCAGCTGGTGAGCTTGAACCACCGACCTTGCAGTTCAAACAACTTTGCAGTTTGACGCATTAACCCACAGCGCCACACCAAAGACGCTGGCAGCCTTGCTCACGTTGGCTGGGGGAATGGAACCCCGAACAGCGTCGTCCATCAGCTTTCTTTAATCTTCGTTGCCAAATACCATCTCTGATTAAAGGGGTTTGGTGTCCCTCAGTGGAGAAGGCTTTCCTATTCTCGAAAAGTCTTGGCCCATTGTCCCAGGGCCCGGAGAGGCTAGGAAAAGGTATGGAATGGGAGGAACTGGGCCCGAGGACTCTGGGAAGTGCGAGAGTCTGGGACTGTTTCTCCGCTTCACCCTACCTTGCGCGCGAGCGCGGGCCCTTTTTGCATTTTGGGGGGGCGGAGGGAAAGATGGGGAGATTGAAGTCTCCAAGACTACCCCTTTCCAAGAGTCTCCCGAGAATGAGAATTTGCTTCTAATCACGAAGAGACCTCAGATGTACGTCAACGCCATTTTTGGGAGGCCTTTGTGTCAGGGAGGTTTGGGGAGCAGCGAGGACCAGGAAAACGTCAGGCCGAGACTAACCGGTCTCTTGCCGATGGGTGGGAAACCACCGCTGGGCGCTGACGTATTCGTTCGAAATGCAGGAGCCTACCTGGACTATTGTGTAGTCTGGGGTGGGGAAGTCGGGAGATAAGGGGGCTGGGGCTGCAAGTCGGAAGGATACTCTAACAAATGGCCCTTTGTAGAAGAAAGAATGGGAATGAGAGGAGAATTAGGAAAGAGCTAGTGAATTGGGAAAACTTTTCAGTTCTATCCAGTTCTTACCCTTTTTCTCTTGCAAGGGGGTTTTCCTTCAAAACTTCTATAAATAATTGAAAAATAACAGCCATGGGTGGGGAGTGAGGAAACATAGAAGGGATTGGAGAGTTAGGACAGATAATATAAAATAATTTCAGATATTTCCAACGCCCCCACAAGACAAAGTAGAAGAATTACCAGACTGGTAAAAATTATTTTTAGGCTATAATCGAGGACTGTCATATAACTAGACTCATGCTCAGTTAGAAAGGTTCATGGAACCACCAAACTCTTCACTGTGGAAAGACTCAACTGTGTTCTTCGTGGTCCTGGGGGCTGGGAAGACGTCAGCCTAGCTGGTGAACCTTACTGGGAAAATATCTTTGGAAATACTTGTTGCAGGTAATTAAAACGACCCTGAATTTCAGGCTTCTAATGTGTCAACTCCTTTTTGCCCCTTTTGTCCTTCAGCTATGAAAACATAAATGTACATGATTGTTTTAGTATGAAATGGTGAATGCTAGCTAAAAGTCATTACGAAGATTTCCCTGAGTTTTTCCTGAAATTGTCAAGCCTGAACTCTTGATTTAAACTTCTCATTACCCCTTGAAAGGAGTCCTGGTGTGGCGCTGTGGGTTAATGCGCTGCTCAGCAAACTCACCAGCTGCTCGTCGGAAACCCTATACGGGGTCGCTATTGGTCGGAACCGACTCGAAGGCACTTAACAACAACAACTCCTTGAATAGACTCTTTTGTGGTCTAGGGGGTTACATGTTCTGCTGATAACGACAAGGTCAGCAGTTCGAACCCAGAAGAAAGAAGAGGTTTCCTGTCCCATAAAGATCTACAGACTCTAATCCCTAAGGAGCTGTTCTACTCTGGCCTATAGGGTCGCTATGAGTCAGAATCAACAGGACAAAAGTCACGTATTTTTACCCCTTGAAGAAGTGGGCTGTTGTGTTCAAGCAGGCGGAATATTACTAGTATAGCTACTCAAAGTTTTAAATTTGCAGATGGTTTCACAAGATTAAAATATACTGTAATATTTGTATTGTCTGTACCAGGTTCCTGCTTTTCAGACCAACTCCACTTTGGAAATCTGCTTTCCTTCTATTGTGTGGACATCTTCAACACCATATTGAAGTGGTACTCCCCTCCTCCATACGCCTAGGCAAAGAGACTTGCTAATCAGTGCTGAATTAACTGCATTTTTGCCTTGAAGCAAACTAGTGAAACAGCACTCAGATCCTTAGGGGAAGGAGATTTCTGAAATTACTTTTGTCAGAACCGACTTGGCATATTTACCCATAGATACACATAGTTTCCTTATGTTCACTTTCCCTTTGTTTGATGATATAACTCTTTCCATTCCCCCAACCACCCTATCTCCATCCCCTCACCCATCAAATTTGTTTAAAGTTACAAAAGGACATTTTTGCACAAAGCATCTTTGCACATTCCTAGCATAAATACTACTAAATCAAGATTGGGAATGTCTTAACATTCCTATTCTATTGTTTTCTTGTCAATACTTAGCGTAAGAACCAGTGGAGAGAGCATTCTTGGTGAATAATCTTGAAGCACAAGTGAAAAAAAGCAAATTACAACACTGTATTAAATTTCACTCTAAACTTTTTCTCTTTTGACTCTTCCAGAAAATGCGATGACTCACTTTATACCAATTACACCTGTAGGGAAACCCAAATGTTCTAAAGCAGAACATCATGACCATCACTTACTGGACTGCCTGCATCATGCCCTGCTGAACTCACTGTGAAGTCAGGCACTGATGAGCTTACCCATAATGTGTCATGCCTCCTCTGACCTTCAGGATTTAGTGCTTCACACAGAAAACAACCAGCAAAGAAAACCTTTACAAAACACATGAGTAAAG